TCATCTAGAATAATGCGTCCAATCTTCTGAGTCACTGGAAGTACAATCCACTGTCTACCAAAACGATACCATTAGACAGGCGTACTTTCGTTATACAGCAATGAAAAGATGCTTATAGCACTATATATCACTTGTTTCCGCTTACCTTAAACTTAGGTGAAGGGTACGCGTAAAAGACATTTTTACTGGGGGGTTCTCGATTGTGCATTGTATGTGTTCGCATATTATTATTTTATGTAAACATCATACATAATATATTAAACCGGAGCTTCGACAAGCGGTACACTACGCTGCCCTCCTTACATACTTAATAAATCCGATACTAATAAATTAGGCTCATCAGCAGATGCGTGCACGTAAAGGCCCTACATTCAGGATCGTATCATCTAATCAACACAGGATATGTAGAAGGCTTCAACAGTCATGCACTGATCGTTGATATGCGATACCCTCCAAGTATGTCTTTCTTCTTTTGTACTACATAAGATAGAGTAATACCGAAAACGATCTGTCGAAAAATGCTAGACCCGCCCCAGTGTATGATGTTTTTGTGTTAATCAGCCGAAATCAGCTACAAGCGCTTCGATAGAGTCGTTGTAATTTCAGTAACGTGATTAGGATCAGGTGGTTTTTACGGAAAACTTATCTCGAATCTTAGACTATAATTACGGATTTTTTTTCACTTACTACTTAGTTCATTATTAGCGTATCGTTTGTTATTTCCAACTGTTGATTGCTAAAAGGTATGTAATTCGGTCCTTTTCGTTCGCACAGTTAAGGAGGGGTGCCGAAATGAAGCATGCGTTGATAAAGTTGGGTCGATATGAGATCCATAGAAAGCTAAATCAGTTACTATATAATTTGCATCTCCATACAGGCGTCAGCGCCTGTGTGGATTTGCCCCAAAACATCGTTATACCAGTCCAGTTTTTACGTACCCCGTATTTGCGTACGAACGAAACGATAATAATAGCCTCTGGCTAGAACCTCATATTAGATCCGAACCGCGTGTAACCACGTGCGGTGTACGCGAATTGAACAGACGTTAAGTATATATTGGAATATCTTTATGAGCAATAGAACAAGGTGATAGCCTTCAACCTTATATACGCTGAAATCAAAGTCCTGCAAAACAAACCTGTGCCATGTCGGCTAGAAAATATATCTTGCGAGTAATTTCGAGAAAAGAAACACATCGATCTGCGTATCTTCGATTCTTGACAACTCGATATCTCTCCCCTCGCCTTTCGTGCGGAAAAATGCCACTTAAAGTTACTGAGCTTGCTATCTACCGTAATTTATACCGCAATTTCTGCTCAATAATGGCAAGTGCCCGAGGTAAAGTGCCCATTTCTAGTAACTATTCCCCTCGAAATAGATGTTGGTTCGAAATCAATGCTTATCAGCCGATTTCGGCTCTGTTGTCACCTTTGTTAATATTAAATGAACAAAAATCCTAGCGGCGTATTCGTGTATCTCAGAAGTCGCATACTACTTATAATGTCGTCTTTTCGCTATGTATATTGCGAAAACGTCTGATATGATCGTTAGTCAGTGAGGTCAGCCAGAACAGAGCTCTGACACTCGCAGGGGTCGAACAAATGGCCGTTTCGAGGCAATTCGAGGCATCAGACCTAGCTGAAGTTCACTGGTGATTCACCGTCAGACAATTCCGAGAACATGTCGTCACGTTCGAATTTTCACTCCCTAGACCTGTCTATTGAAACCTGTGCTAATTATAACAGTCGGATCACCAAGTGGAAACGATGCAATTTTAAGTGTGACTTTACCCTAGCTAACCTACTGTCCAATGAAGTGGCTCAAGTAAGCTTATTGTAAACAAAACAATATCCAAATATATACGAATTTGATAAAAAAAAATCCAGCAGCGTTGCTACTGTAGTCTATACAATATTAAAACGCCTGCTTTTACATACATTTTAGACACACAAGTAGATAATTACAAGACGTACATGTAAAAGGAATGTCTGTAAATAGCGTATATACGCTGATTACGTTATTCCTTGCCTCTTAGCGCTGTTGCAAGTCTATTCCACGATATCACTGGATCCGCATGTATAACAGGTAATCGATTCAAATAGTTTTATGTTTTTTGATAGCCTTAGAGTCTGAAATCCTGATCTGTTCTATAGAGAAAAAGGAGACATAACCTTATTATCTTCAATGCCCATTCATAAACAAATCTGCTTCGACTAAAGGGTAAGCGCTTAATTGAAGATACAGATTTGCCTGGGTATGCGTTCTCGCTTTGAAGTGTCCGTTTCTGTTACGTGTGCAACACGTCATAATGATGGCTTCCGACGAACGAGTTCAATAAATTTTTCGGTATCGTAGCAAGTGGTTGAACACACAGGAAATCGCAGCTAGAGTTCCGGCGGTAATAGAACGTATAGCGAGTAATCTGCTATTGGGTCTGCGATGTACAAATAATTAATTATACATTGATCACTGTCTACGGCCGATCACTATGGCCGATACCCATGAAGCACCGCATGTCTTCATGGCTATCGGCCGGCAGAAACGAGCGCCACATGCAGTCTTCGTTGCTATTGCAATGATTTTCAATGATTACATTGTAGTAATTGTCCGGTAGAAAGCTTCTCAAAAGTATCAACTCCTTCGACCATCATCTTCTATTTGACTGAGTAGTATACGTGCGAAACAATGTTCGTGTATAGGAAAATCAATGCAAGTATAGAAGTGTGCTTTAGGGAACGTAATAGGGCAAAAGAAGATATTAATGTGTTACACAGTCGACGCCATAGATAAGGTCAAAGCTGCCGCTAAACATTAGCCTAATTGAGTTGCTGCATGCAGAGGTTAGGTTGCAAGGCGCTATACCTAGTAAAGGGTCCCATAAATTACAATGCACCACCAAGTTTCACATATATAACATTACACATAAATGCGGCACGTTTTTCATTGATTAAATATCATTTATAGCTTTTTGTATGAGTGGTGATATATCTTCTATATCCGGCGTATGGAAAACGCGAGACGCATACACGCACTGTTTATAGAATTGTTATACTCTCTAAGCTATACTAAATGTTAAAATCTTGTAGAATTTTATGCAAACCGTATTATCGTTTATTTGCTAGCAAGCTCAATTATTAACAAGGCCGTTATCCTCCTCGGATTTTTCCCGCGCCCCGCGTGCCTTCTCCTGCGCCCCTACCCCCTTCGATTGATGGCAGGGAAAATTATTACGACGAAGCGATAGCAATTAAAGTTCAATAAACAGGACATGAATAAGAAAGGCGGTGCTTAAAAATAGAAAAAAACTAAAAATAAAAAAGCGATGAAAAGACTGGATCTGTCGATCCTCCACCTCGATTATATTAAGCTTCAGTAAATTACAGCAATAACGGTACGGGTATGGTGGGAGCTGGCTGGAGGGCGAAGGGTATTTCGACGAAATAACTAGCTAATAACCTTTTTGTATCCTTTGTTTTCGCTTTTAGTCGCCGGGCGACACAGCAGTTCAGTGGCTTCCTTCTCTCTATCACTTTGTTTCTGTCAAAGTTCACGACGTTCGCTACGATAATATTTGGGTTGAAATACTGGCTCCTTTTTTTGCTCCTTCTCTACGTAATTTGCGTTTGTCCTCCTGTTAATGGCCGTCAAAGTCAAGCTCCGTTCGAGCTCTAGTGTTTTAGCAGAAGCACCTACACAGATTGAAGTTACTCTAGAATACGCCCTAGGCTACGTCGTCGACAAAAGAACCGCTCAACCGCCCCCTGCGCCAATTCATTGGTGTACCTGGACAACACCGTACCACACCCGGCACCCGTAAATAGTATACGCCTTCATGCGCGAGCATGATACGAACAAGATCAAGTTAACGGTTTGCCTGGCGCTTGCTTGCCCGTTCCGGTATCCATTCGCATACCAATCACCGAACGACGGTTTCGCCGACAATTTACAATAATGGATATTTCTCTTTTATCCAGTTTACCAGTTGGTGGAAGAAACTGAACAAACAGGTCAAGTCGCCGTGACTTCTTTATTTTATCTTTTGCCGTTGCACTTCACCGGGCTGTCACTGCGAGCCTATCGGCGCAGGGTTCGTATCGCCTTTAACCAAGCAGCCTAACATGAAGGTACCCCTGCAGTAGTTAGTTTCCGCTTTTCTACTGTATAATACCCAGCCATATGGACCTCAATTTCGATAGGAGAAACAATTATAATCGTAATTCTAGTAATATTAATGAAGTGAACACGAAGAAAGCCTAGAGCTGGCTTGTCAGTGACGTAAACATTAGAACAGAGAATACTAGTGCTATCCCTAAAAGAGAGATACGCTATCCCTGTTTGTAAAGCTATCATAAATTTAATTTCAAATATGGTGTAAACAACCAAATATCAGCCAAATACATTGTGGGAAGGGTTTTTACGTTATTTCGTATAATTTATTCCTATGAAGATACATGTGCAAGTTACGGAATAGAGCGCACATCTCATGGTTTCAGTAGCTGTGGTCAGGAGGTTCTAGAACCGCAAGCTTTAAAACACTTCAAACTGTGGACGAGCCAAGAAAAGTAATTCAGTTGATGTTCTATTATATTATTGATTTGTCTCAATAAAATGGAACACTGGCAAGATATACCATGCCGTCCGCGATACAAGTGATAGCTGCGGTGTGTGTAAAGTGCATAGCAAAATTGTCGGGGATACGCTTTACGCTGATATTGCTGGAAGCCCAACTTCCCGCTGATTTACTTATCAGCCAATGTACGAAAAATGGCGTGCCCCACTGGCCTTCCGCCCCGTCCGTAATTATGGATATTCTTGGCCTGAACTCTACTTGTCGTCTGGCAGATCAACTAACACTGAACTGTTATCGTTTTCCAACCGTTGTTGCTCATGTTCGGTTGCTATATGTTTTGTTAAGCTTGAATGAGAGCTTGTCGGTCCTTCCGATCCAGTAAGCCATTTTCCTCGATCTAGTAACGGTAGAGCTTATATTTGCTTTGCAGGAATTTCCAGAACAGGCAAATATTGAGAGTCCTCAGGATGACGTCGTTGCTGATCTACCGTGCAGTCCAGCAGTGGTTCGTAAGTCGAAATTTCCGTACAACCCATTACGGGGTGCAAGACACTCGTTTTCTATCGATTACGGTGATGTCCTTCCTGTGCACAGAGGAAACAGGTAATCAACACATATTAGTTACCTCAATTCACGCATATACAGCAAAAAACTTCATGCAACAGATACCAAGCTTGCTCATGAATCTCTAAGCAGCATAGTTTCGTTTGCTTGATATGAGATGGCTTTCAGCCGTCTGTCACAGCTGGTGTCTTTGATAAGTAGATAGTGTTTATCAAATGGTTTTGCCGATTGCTTGCATTATTGTCGAACACGTCATAAAGGGAAACACGTCCAACGAGTATGTGTCTGACACTCGCATGACTTCTAGTATAATATAAACTTGCTATATAGAAGTTAGCTTCTATATAGCAAGTTTATATTAACAACGGCTTTACTTATATGGTCTCGAAACATGGTCCATTGTTGGAATATTGCGAACTATTATGAAATTATTCACAGAAAACCACATGCGGCTTTAACGGGTGCTCCCATGGGAAGGACACCGAGCAACGGGCAGCCAGACAAAGCGCAATATCGGGTGGTGTTTTTGGGAGCTGCCAAGGTTGGCAAATCGGCCATCATTCATCAGTTTCTCTATGAGAAGTTCCTGCACGACTATAGCGCCACTGTCGAGGAGTTCCACAGGTAATGCACTTTCCATAGTTCTCGTGGTCGCAGTACATTTCCGGTGTAACCAACTAACTGCATAGGCTGTTGTATGCATTTTGAAACCAGTCCAATTAGATGAATTGGACTCTGAAAATTCAAAAGGTCGTTTCGTCGATTAGTTGCAGTTACTCACTTCACGGTATTTTTTTTGCGTAACTAAACTCTATTGGATAAGCTCACATTTCTTTCCGATAGATGCCCATTGTCCAAATGGCTAATGTGCTTTATTCGGTACGATTCTTCCAGGGGCGAATACGACGTGGGCCTGGAAAGCAAAGTCTCTCTCGACATACTCGACACGGGAGGCAGCTGCGAATTTCCTGCAATGAAAAGACTTGCCATAGGTTAGTTTAATACATGTAATAATTACACTCATAGCTAAGTTCGTGCACGCAGGACACCAGCGTGTTATTGCTTGTAGCCATCTTGCTGAAATCGCCGAAATAGCTCTGTGAAAAAGCTAAGATGACTTACACAAAACTACATAGCGTTTGTGAGCGGAGACACATATCTAGCGTATATGGCTCGTATACGTTTCGGTCCCGTTTTTAGACAATACCGTATTATTAAGTTTCGGTAACTTTCGTAGCTACAGTCTATTAGGCTATTGTCTGCAGGCATACCTATATACACGTCATGCCAATAGCTAGAACGACATTTTCCGTTAATAATAGTGCTCATTGATCAGAATAGTGTAACTGTGATCTAGAAATATTGCAACACGTTCAACAGGCTATTTCTGGATATCTGTCTGTTACTATCTAACAGCGACATGGATATAATCCCATTACGTGTACCTCCCTGTCTCCGTAGAGAAGCGATCACCCTGGATGCCCACGAGTCACGTTGTGGCCTTTATGTAGGTATTAAATATCTCAAAAGAAGGCCAAAGCTTACAGTTTAATATCGCATACAAAGCCAAGATTTTTTTACTTTCTTCAACCATTTTGACTTTTTTTTTAATAATATAATTTAGCAAGCGCAGTTAGCGATTGAGCCAAGTCCCCGATAAATGTATGCTTGTTATATTACGATGTTTAATACGCTTCAGGGAAGTTCGTTAGGCCACTGAGGTAAGATGAGATTTAACTAAATTATGATATTTGACAAATTTCATGTTACGAAACAAAAAAAGACCGACACAAAAAATACCGGTAAAAATGTTTCGGACATATTGGTACGTACAGACATAGAAACAATTACATCGAAATTTACCCCATACGATATGTGCGTATTTTGTTGTCAATAGCCAGTCGATCTGTAGGCCTAATTCTAAATTCAGGAAACTATTCACTGCCATTATTCGCTAGCTCTGTTTTCAGTGTAAATAATAAAGATACTATTTCAAGCGATCACAAAAGCCCTGTTTTTAGCTCATGTTCGAGTGTAGTCCTGGTATAAAGACCCATATAGTCGGGTTCGGTAGCTCTATTATGTTCCATTTCACAAAAAATACATTTTGCGCTTAGCGCTTACCTAGCTATTAACGTGCCATTTGCTGCAGTACACGTTACGGTTTAAGTTAACCAAAACTATTTTAATGAACTTTATTCCACAACGCTCTGCGACTATACAAAATCCTTCTAGCTTTGCTAACCTGATTAGTTCCTACTCGTTACCCCGCATCTACCTCACAGCTACTTCGTTGCCCTTCAAGTACCTCTTACCTCAGTTCTTTTTACGAGGTGCTATGGCCTGGCCAAGGTTAGCTCAGCAATGCTCGATTCTCGCAGGAAGCACCCACAATTAGATTAAAAGCTGATGCAAGTTAGACAGCTGTATACTTAACAGGTATGTCCTTGACTCAACGGACATAGACTGATTGTCCGTGGGAAAAGAGGCAGTACAGATACAAAGACAACGGCTGCTTTACAGACTGACTCAGATACCTAATTCCAGCTTTCATTACTCTAGGTAACTTAGCATTGCTTAGTTTAAGGCGATTAGCTCCGAGATCAAATTGTCAAAAACTTGGGTCCTGACGGGTGTTTTGCAGCTTAACGAAGTATGCCGCAAACCACGTCGCTGATACCCCCATTGGGAACACAATAAAACGAAATATTAGTACAACAAATGTATTGATTCTCTAGTAAATCTACACACATAAGTAGAATTTTTAAGGTGATGTTCCTTTTTGCGTGCTTGACACAAATGTGACACAAATGCAATGACACCGATGTTTATCCATTGCAGAGTAATTGAAGACGTTAGGCTGTTTAACGTTTGCAGTTCACCGGAATTTTTGAACATACCAGAGCAGATTACGACAGCTAAGCCGCCTAAGTGGTTGTTGACCAAAAGTAACCATGTCGATCATTATAGAATCGAATAATGAAAAGAAAACAAGAGCAACCTAATGGAAGCATTAAAGCAGAATGAGATGATAAAGCGGAACTCTTTCGGTGCTACAGAGTTATTTCGCGCCAGCATGTCTTGCGACACGATGTAATCGACAAACAGGATCACGGAAGCGGACTTTGGGAAACGCCCCACCGGTCTCCCTACTGAATACATTTCTTGTCCCCGCGTATCAGCTTGGGGGGTATATCTGCCTCTTCGACGATTACCTTCTTTGAGCTCTCATCCACGCACCTACAAGGGCTCGTCAACTGGAGAAAAAACGTGTCGATATAAGTGATGTCGAGAAATTTCTGCGCAGTGCGAGTCGATAGCTAAACGTGAACCGTACCTAAGTTATTCGCTTTGTCCTTCCCGTGTCCTTTCGGTGGCCTTACCGCTCGAAGTTGTATCTAAGAAGTTACAGACTTTCATGAGTGCTTTCAAGGCGTTCATCTGGGGTTTTCAACTACTCATACATGAGTCTACATAGACATGGCGGAACTATCGAACGATGCCGTGTTTATAATCGAAAATGTGTGACTAAAATTGTGTAAAATCAAAACGAAGTGTAGAATTCACTGGACAGTTTACCAGCTAGCCGAATCAAAAAATAATTACTGATGTTTTTAGCAAACTCTTAATAATATCAAAGACATGCTTGGAGATCGGATTTAAAATACAGCAGTTTCAACCTGCAAAAAAAAACTGTTCGAAACAGTTTCAGGACTATGAACCAAAAAAGTCGGACTTGTCATCTCAGATGGTTCAACCATAGAGACGACCGGAGCTGCCAAACTATGAGTTTCTTTGTTGTCACAAGTTCTGTGCAATGGATGACTGACCAGACTTATAAGTGTTGATATCAATAGCCTTACTGATAGCTGTCTGACTGCATTGCAACAGACTATGACATCATAAGGGAATTGGGACTAATGAGTAATAATCAGACGCAACAAGCAAATCCAAACGTCAGGGCTGTTACACGCCTTACACATAGACTTGTTTCGGTGGCTCTGGTTGAACGTGGAAGTAAAAAAAAAACGTAAATCATGACTGTGTGAATAGTATAGAATACAAATGGCCGTTTCTAGGCCGTTCTGAAAACGGTTCGTTATAGCATACCCAGATCACACGGAAGTGACATTCTAGAGAGATCCAAGAGCGGTCTTCGATAACGATGGAAAATTATAAATACACCGTTCTGAGCTGGTCGCTAGATTGTGTGCACTGATTTTTAGGACCCTCCGCAAATGAAACCCACTTGTTATTTATCTCGGATTATATATGAATTAGGAGCTGTTTTCAAGCCGATTTTCTGTGACTCCTGTGTGAAATCATCCTCCACCAAAAATGTTGTATTGTTCTTGCATCGTATGTGCGCGAGCGTTTCGCGAAACCCACAAGTCAAACCGTACTTAAAGTTTTTCTTATAATTCGACTACGTCAATAGAGGACCAATTGTACCTATCGGACATGTATATAGCCGTTCACGTTGTTGCACAGAATGACCGAATCCGAGACTTGCGAATTCAATCACGTATTTCAATATCGACGAAGTCTTATCTTGGATTGCACTTCATGTAATATTGTATCATACAGCGTAATACAATGCTATAAAGTGTTGAATAGATGATTTATTTCGCTTTCTAGTCCTGCACGCTTGGCGGTCGTGTCCTGTTTACCTATTAATCACAGGGAATACAGAGGTGGAGTAAGTTGGAGTTCGGACATACACACACTCGCACGAGGCCTCCGCCGCATCAGATTCTTGAGGCATTGTTGAATAGCTGGAAACAAACTGGAATCTGTCGCAGGAGCGATGGCTAAAAGTGAATTATCGAGAACGTAGTGAATGCACTATGCCTAGGTATAGATCGATTCGCTTCAAAATGAGGCCAGTAAGGCTCGAACATCTCAACAGAGTCTTCGCCCTTAAATGTCGATAGTTTAGGGCAATATGTGGATACAAACGCGATTTGTATCTTATCATTAATGGAAAAACATAGAATAGAAACATCACCTAAGCAACGTTCAACCCTATACAGGCTCAGGCGACGCCTTTGTGCTGGTATATTCTGTAGACAACGAAAGCTCATATGACGCGGTCCGGACACTTCGAGATGACATTTTACAACTGAGGCAAGGGGATAAAACGCCTCCTCCAATAGTCGTTGTGGCCAACAAGGTAAGTTATCATTACTACAGATGTGACACATCTCGTTTGGCTCCATACATCCATGCGTTTTATTTCATTTTACATGAAACAATCCGATTGTAGATTATAATATTATAGGTCAAAGTTGTTAAATATTACTCATCAAGGCAGTATTATTAATATTAGAGGTAATGTTGCAATATCGAAAATAACAGCATGTGAAAATCGTAAATAACAATAGGAACACAACATTCGATTTACCCTTTGAAGGTTCCTTTGTAGCAAAGCAGCTGGAGAGGTAGAAGTTGAACGAATATTTTTGTACAGTGTATTTTAATACATAATGCACACAGTTTTTATGATTTCAAAAATCAAACTAATTTCTAAGTAGTCCTGTTACCCATCGCCGTCATCTAAGATGTTCACTCTTGGCACCTGATTTACCATGAACAACAAGCGGCCACACCGAAGCTATTGCCTCTCCGAAAGCCAGTTTAATATATTATTATATTTTAGCGCATTGGTCGTAGCCGTTTAGTTTAATAGTATACAAGTACCCATTGCTATTAGCTAGTGGCTACTATAAATTATAGTCTCTCTTCGTCTAGATACTCGAGCTGCTTCGTTCGCCTGTGCTCCCGGAGCAAATAAACCCACGTTTTAGTGACATGCACCACGTGTACACCACGGTTTATTCTCTAAACCATTCCTACATCGTATTAAACTGTATTGCGTTACGTTCAGGATATTAAATATAGGAAAGGCAGTTCCGTTAATGATATCACGCTATTCAACGGAGCTTGTCGGCCAAACATCATCTATATCCCTTTTTCGAGAAGCGTGCTTCCCCACCACCTGATGTAGAGATGGAATGGAAGAAAGCGGTACTTACATAGTGCCGTAAGTCAGAGCATATCCGATCAAGCTGATAAAGTTCTGCTGATGATCTGCCCGTCGCTAAGAACGAGTGACGGCGTTGGTCAGATGCTTGTAACTATGTTATAGGTCCGTATTAGCGGTGATGTAATGGCAAGCGGGCTTGATTGCTACACTTGAGGGAAACGTAGTGGCCGGAGTTCGAGTTCCAGCGTGGACACGCTTCATTTCGAGGTGGTCTGATAGAGTGCCAGACGACAGCATCAAACGTAACCTGCACGATTTTGCCTATGGGCGCAGTCCGGTTGATTCTGTTCCTATCTATCTCGTGTAGCGTGAAAATACTACGGCTGTTAACCTACGACAAACCTTCAATGTATTCATAACAGCTCAATGTTTTAACTAAAGACGGCCCTGGCTGGACAAACTAATAGAAAAACATAATAGGCAGTTTCGATGATTAGCTGCTTTTTATTTATTAGTTAACAGAATACGGCTTGTTCACGTATAATATGGCCATATATCACTCAAATGATCGACCATTTATAAACCCTACAATAAATACGAAAGTCACTGAGATTTGCAGCATACCATCGATAAGAATGAAAGCTTGATGGATTCTAAGCTATCGTCGATAAGACACAAATGTCATTGTTTTACATAGGTACAACGATTGGATTTTCCAAAGACGTTCTTGCATTTCTCAAACACGAATAGCTCGACTCATTACCATTCGGTTTCAAAGCGACATTTATTTCTTTTTATCTTATCATGTATTTATTTTTGTTTTCGATTTGCGTACAGACCGATCTCCCGAGCGGCCAGCACGTCGAAAGTGTGGCGCCTTCGATGGTGGAACCCGTTGTCTGCTTGGACTGGGAACACGCGTTCGTCGAGTGCTCAGCTAAAGATAATGCTGATGTTGTCAGGGTCTTTCAGGTAGGAACTCACTAGCCGCTGGAATCTATACGTAATGTCTATGCCAGTATAATTTAATGTTCAGTAACGGTTTAACCTAAGAGAAATTCATCTGTTTGAGTTAAATTTGCAATTGTCCGGTTGGTTATGATGAAAGGACCGGTGACGTACATGTAAGGTAGTGCCTTTTCAGTGACATGTTTAGCCCGTATTGGTAAAATAGATACAGAGAGCAGACAGAAGAATTTAATTCTATCCGTAATGTAATCTATCTAGAATTTGTAAAAAGTCCAATCACCTTCATCTCCACCTTGTTACTATCATTATTGTATATATATGTAATTATTATTAGAAAAAACACATTTACAGCGTACATTAGAGCCACTTTGAGAGAATAAATCTCAGGGTAGTTTCAAAGTGTGATAGCACAAGATATGATTTTGTAAATGATAAGAGAAAGAAAATAATAAAAGAAAGATTTTTTCGTTTAGGCGTAAACATCTCTACCGCTTATTAACTCATTTTATGCGACATGTGGAACGCGAGTCCAGGCCAACGAAAATAAGACGTATAAATTTAACGTACTTTTTTCGGCAGAGATTCACGTCAACATAATACACCGCCCTGGCTTTGATCTAATAGAATGCCTCTAATGTGAAAGACGGACAGCCAGTCTGTTTCCCGAAAGTGTATAGGCCTAGATGAGGAATTCAGACGCTTTCAATTATTCGGAGTCATACTCCGATGAAATTTCACGTGCTAAATCCATGCAAATAGCTGTCAGTGGATTGACATTTGATTACCTCGCTCAGATTAGACTGGATAACATCCGAGCTCTTCCTTATAACTATTGTGATAACTGATCCCTCAAAAGGCCCTTGATTACATTGTTCCAAATACTCGTTTATTTGAACATACCAAAGCACAAGCGCCATACCCGACACCACACAATGCAATTTAATTCGGCAGCTTTGTAAACCGCATTAGCATTTTTATTTGTGCTTGATGAGGACAAGCATAATAAACATTACGATTGGAATTTATGAACTTTGTGATGACACCGTTGCATGGCAAGCCCCTTCAGACCGTATAACTCACGCTGATAATAAAGGGAAAAACAATAAATGCTACGTGCAAAGCAAAAAGCTGTGCCTTGCCAACTTGGGGCTCACAGGAACGGAATTCCCGCCAAGGACATGTTAGCAAGCGAGACCATCTAATTGGCTGATCCGTCGACTGTTAGTTTGTGGCGTGAGCATTTCATAATAACGTGACGCATATCGCCAGTGTATTCGACGGCTACCTCGCACGGCTACACCAGCAGACAAAAGTCGTATTATCTGTTCTTGTTTACGGCGAACGCTCCTATCAAGGGTGGCCGAGCAGATCTACTCATTTTTATTTTTCAACACGGCTAACACGGCTGACCTGTAAGCACCCCATTCAACTTGGACGGCTTTCAACGCCATAGGATCTAGGGCCTATCGCCGAAATTCTTACTAGCGACAGACCGTGTCGCTATCGGATACATACGCACCCCCTGTCTTTACCCCTCGAGAGGTATCGCCCATTCTGCACTGACCAGGTCAAATGAAAGCGTCGTTACAGCCGCTGCCGCTCTCACACCTGTCTACTATCGCACGAATCTGTTCGCTCACTCCACCTGTCAATGAGCGGTTAATAGAGTGCACAAGATTTTATCAGACGGCGTTAAGCGTTGCGACGCTGTGCTGGTTACGTTGTGCAATCGACATCATTGGCAGTATTCGAAAGCGTCGACGCTTGCAGACTGGCATTGGACAACAGTAGGCTGACATCGGCGAACCGTGTCGTACCGTTGTCTCTCATAGTCTCCTCTGTTATCGTACGCCAGAACTGTTATCACAACAGAATGGTTGCAATGAGGTAAGCGACAGTAGCGTTCCTGTTACTAGTGCAATAAGCCCGTCAAAGTGGGTTTGTTGTTACTGACGTGAGATTTCAGAATGGATGCGAAAACGATCAAAGTATTTGTCATGAGAATTATTATACAGGAAAGAGCCTGAGTGACTTTTCTAGTGCATACGCGTATGTAGCAGTCGGGTCTATTCGAAGACATTTTCATTTTTACTTTAGTGGCTGATAGATGACGAGGTACGGCTGTTTGCGTTCAAACAGGTTTATGCTCAAAACTTGAAGCACTCTCGCGCAAGGTGGCTTAACTTTTTTGGAAGGTGAAACAAAACTCCCCCCCCCCCCCCTGAGTACTACGGAATATGCGAAGCAAGTCTTTCTATTAGCAACCTCTGCACTGGCTCTCAAGCTCATTTGCTAACAAAGCGGTTAACTGAACAAGAATAAAGTATTAGTAGCAATAGCATTTCAAAGGGGCAAATTTTAACGATGTTTCTTCTCTACTATGTTACTTCTACAAATTGTTCCAGGAGTTGCTGGTACTTTCTCCCTTAAAGAAACAGACACCGCCTGCACGTCAAGCAGGTTTTCGTCGAATGTCTCTTCCAGTCACATCGCTGTCAGACCAGCTCGGATCGCTAGGTCTGACGAAAAGTCCCGGCCATAAAAAGAAACGTGACAGTTGTCACGTCTCGTAAACGTGCCGCTAACGAATATGGGTATCTTTGTATACAATGATTCTCATCCTATTTAAAGAGCCTAAACGTTTTGAATGTTGGATGTAGGATAGACCGTAAAGTCAATAGCGAGATACAAAAGAATACGGTAAGAATAACGAGTAAATAGTAAAAGCAGAAACCTCATCAAGCGACGTTCAACGTCAATCTTCAATGTATGTTCGTTTTCAACAGACGGAAGTCGTTGAGTGCGGATGGAAATGTTGAAGAAAAATGAGTAGGCTTAAGTACCCATTAAGCTTTCCATTAAAAGACGATCGACCTGTAACATTGTACAATTATGCACTTTGTTAGCGTCGATGATGGCGAAGTTGATCTCGAAGATGGAAAGCGACATCAATGAATGACATCAATAATTAATAACAGTGACAAGTAGATGATGTAAGTAGAGATACAAACAATGGAAATGATCATAGATAATAACAGTAATAATAACAATACATAAGGAAATAGAGGAATAGAGAAACATCCAGCACTACACCTTCAACCAAAACTATCTATTGCTGACAATGCAAGAATTCACGCACGGGTCCTTAAAAGGATCCATTTTTTTGGAAAAAGATACTTGCTACTATCGATAACCAAGCCATCTGTCGCGATTTTCCAACGCTTATGTAGGCCGCTCAAGTAGTATGAAAAAAGCCATAAAAAAATAAATACTTAGCCACTAATGTTATGCCTTTGTCAAGCTTGTCATGCCTATGAAGGCCGTGCACGTCTCCCGGCCAGAATCTCTATTTAGAGACGAGAATGAAGTAAGTCAACGTCATTATGTCGTAACGACTTAGCCAAGCTTACCATGCATATACACAAAGGTACGTTACGTTACAAATACTGCTAAACCCGTCATTGAATCAATTAACAATAACCAACCAGTGAACCTATAAAGCTGAGCCACCCTTGCTACCCGCCTAATGGATTTATCGCCGTTCATCAGCAATGTACACAGACATATACGATGAAGCGTCGCGATAGAACTCAAGACGGATAATCCAGCCAGTCACTGATAATCTCCTGACCTCTCACCAACGCGAAGACACGCACGTAGAAGGGTGACCACCAATGACAGCAATTAAAGGAAACCTTACCAGGTAGTGCGCTATAAGTATATACCGTAGATGAAATCACCAGCAGCAAGAATCAGTACGTAGATATTCAGATATAAAAACCGAGGTTAGAAGAAATCTAGATTAACATATAGTTAGGTAGACAGTATTAGAACAAGGTATAGAGAAATGAAGCTGTTCAACTGAAAATTGGTGGTTGCGTGCCCCTATAATAAACGAAAAGGCGGCGATAACGAAAATCAATAAAAACTATTATTATTATTATTATTATTATTATTATTATTATTATTATGACTGATATTAGCCGATAACGATAATATCAATAGCACTGATAGTATCGATATCGTCATAATATATGGCGCCCATATTTACCTGTGATACCACCGATTGCTACTCTCTTGTCCTGAGCTCATACACCTGCGTACATAATGATTTTTTCTATTTCGTTTCACAGCAACGTTGTTGTTTATCAATGTTTTGTTACGTATTGATATTATTACTACGGTTACTGCCGATAATCCTAGTATGAATGCTACTCACAAGTTTTCTTTGCTCGAAGCTATGCACGCAATGGCCGAACGAAAAAATCACAGGGCAGATGAAGACCATATATGGGAAATGTCGAGCTGCAACGTAGGTTCGCGAACTTGAGACGAAAATAATAACATAAAAGCGTCCATCCTATATTAATTAGGCTTAAGTCAAGAGGCGTGATTTTACGTAATCAATAATAGCAATAGTCAATTTTACACCTAATGCCATAAGTATAATGTCAAAAATGGTACTCGTGACCGAAGTTAGTTATAGACGACTAATAGCAAACTCCAGTGTCCGCCGCTTAGCCGCGTACCGAAACGACCATATTGATTACGTAGCGTGGCGCTAGCGTTGCGCTTGTTTACAGCTCCTTGAATGCATTAGACGGAGATGAACAACTACATCTTATAAACTTATGTAACATATATATAGTCTACCATCAATCGCCGAAAAAACAAAAATTGCAATAACTATCGGAGCGATACTTTTGTTTCGCTTGTTAGCTTTTCATTTGAGTTAAAAACGACACTTGTTTGAATGCTTTGAAACCCGTGCCCTGATTGAGGACAACAAAAATCTCATGTAAGGGTCAATCACTATAAACTAGCCTTGCCTACGAATCAGCACGGTGTTGCAAAAACATCTTCCGTTGCCAGTCAATAACCGATCGATTGTCCTAACCCGATCTCAGGTGATCTATAAAAAAAAAAAAAGTAACACTTTAGGGGAGTTCTTTAATAGCATCAAAACCTGATTCTTCTCGGACCGCTGCGGGTACACGATATTTGCCTCAATTTTCGAATGTATTATGTGTATATCATACTAGTAGAACTGCGTGCAATACATTGTCACCCATCTTTATTTGGCTATTAGTTATCCTGAGGTACTATGTGGTTTCGAAATTGTTTAAACACTACAAGCTCGATTTTGAATTTCACGAGTTTTTCTTTTGTAAAAATAGGGAGTTGTTCGATGGATTGTACAATCAAATATGTATATTTGTCATTTTACAGTATGATTTCCGTTTCAAAATCCGAAACAGCTTAACAGATGGTAGCCTGGATATTCGTTATAATCATTGGTAACGTGGGACTCCACAAGGTAATTGTTAACGCTTCTCAATCAACCTACGAAAGGTCCTGTAAAAAAAAAATGGCAAGAATCATATAACCGAGTTTTTTTGTTGCATTTTTTTAATGTGATAACTTAAGTAGTCAATTTCATAAAAGTGAAGAACGCTGTCTTCCCAGTTGCTAATCAGCTGCTACAGTTATTTTGTAGCACTATGTAAAAAATTTTTGCTTAACACCAATAGTCGCCTGTCGCCCGTTTATGTATTGTAATGGCCTGTAACAGCTTATATAACCAAACAGTAGAGGCTCGCAGAGACAGCCAAGCTGGTGGTAGCGCCGCAAAGCTGCCCTTAACCCGCAACACCAGGTAGCGCATAGTTGTGAAGCCTTTCCGTAGCAGTTCAATACCTTTGAAAGTACTTTTTGAAGAAAAGCTCCTTAACTTCAAACAAATGTCACTGTTTCTTGTCGACAAACCTTCACAATTTGAGGAACCTTCGGAGACTTTCGCACTCTTGCTGATTGTTTATAGACCTGGCGGGTCCTATAGGCGTGTCTCGTAAATTACTACATAGTCGTTCACGGTACGCCTTTGAGGACTTAATGAGAAGCTTAAGTGCAGCCGAAATCTGGGTCGTTTCGTTATATATAGTGTTAACTAAATAGTTATCGAACAGATACGTATTGGCGCGGGATTGAAGAAGCAAGGGCATAAACACAACAGCCGTCTCTGCCGAAGTTGTCCGTTGACTACGAGTCTCATGGAAGCTCCCAGAAAAATGATCACAACACTAGTAACAATTATTAGGATAAACAATACTGCTTTACACGAACGAAATACTACGATTACATTTATGTGCATCGTTTTATTACATCGGTAACAAATTGCATATGGCCTATAATAAATTTCCGAAACAAGAAACGTCCATGTAAACGTTTCTAACCGACATCGTATGCAATAAACAGTAGAGTTTCTTCCGCCACTGAAGCTGTCCAAAAAAAAAAATCAAATTTTAAATTTCCATTTATCTATGTACGCCATATATATATATACATGTATGGCGAGAGAGGTAAAAAACAGAAGAGGTTACTATGAAGCAGAGAAAAAAAAGCAGCTGATATGAATGACTTGCATAATAACTCTGAAGTCACGTTCGTATGCCGGTAACGATCAGGTTCGTTTGTAAAAATCGCAAACCTTATGATGACAAGGGCGACGCTTATAATAGTGAATAGAATAGTGATTTTGGCAGTGAATAGCGGCGATATGTGTATATGCTTTATATATGCATATAGCCTTTGATCTATAGGCATTAATGGACAAGCGAAAGTCGTACAGCCTGACCCATTGCCCGCTCACGGGCGCAGGACCGGGGAGACTAAACCCGTGTCCGACGCCCCTTTTATTTCCACGTTGCTTGTCCGTTATGACACTGAGTGCTTGGATTAGCAAAGTGGTTATTAGTATTATTATACTTCTTGATTATCGTGTGGAATGATTATGTCAGCGGTGATCTGTATTCATATTAACAAACTCGTATTATTACTTCAAGTAAATGGAATTGGTTATGGACTCGATTGCAGCCTGTTGCTGATGTTGCTATGGCAATAAACTCTTTTACACCCGACAACAACATTAATAATTATGTGTTTTTTTTTTTTTTTTCGATAGCTTTGTTTCTACATTATTAGATTTGAGATATGTATTTTTACTTAGACAGCTTGTGTGGTTTTGCTGGACAGGTATATTATCATGACCCAAAATCTCGTACAAAGGTAAGTCATCTGCCAATGTGACCCTTACTAAATATGCAATGCTCAGTAAATACTAAAAAACTCATGTGCGCTATATTGTTTTTCTTTCAAATGTTCAATTGACGTAAATAAATAAAACAGGTACATCAACTTTCATTCTTAGCCTGTCACTAAAGGCAACCAAAAAACGCATTCATTAGCTACAACAAGCTTTTGACTTATTATTTGCTTTTACAAATCGTATTTTATTCATTTTGCATCAGTTATGAAGCTCAACTCAGGATGTTCTGTGATGGGTATGACACAATGCCATAAAGTATAAGCAGGAACTTCTGTATAGAAAAAACTAGAAAATTTTCGAATGACCTTCTCGGCCTAACCAAAGATTAGACCTTTTCTGGGACTTCAGGTACAATGACTAACGGAAAGTTTTAAATGACACTTCGCACTTTTTGCAGAAATAATGTTATACCTGATTTCCGAGCTCGCCAAATTAATAAACTGTTCGGCCTATATGATATTGAAAAGTTACCCAACAACATAGGGACATATTATTGACGAAAAAAAATCAAACATTTTTAAAAGCGCGTTAAGGGGCACACGCTATATGATCTCCCAAGCCTTTTCTACACTAAAAATCCAGCTTCTGTCGAGCTATATGTCGTACAGTTTCAATTTAAAGTTATCCAACTCGAACGTACATGTTACCTCTTGTGCAAAGTAATGGGTATTCCTCCATTCCGTTTCATCTTTGTAAATCCTGCTTAGCTATTTGTAGTAGTAAGCGCTATATGTAACTTCTTTGAATTAAACTATTTTATGAGGTCTCGTTTCTGTTCAATTTAGGTATACACTGAACAGCTTTAATAGAAAAGTGTTTACATTTCACTTGTTTGCATTTAGACAGGTTAAATAGTGTTTATTTAAATACATGAATGCTAGATAATTAACCAAACTTACGGTTTCTTAACGTTCTGTAGAGAATAGTTTTCGCGTTGTTACCACAAAAATATACAAAAAAAATGCTCCTTTTTGTAAAACCCTGATCCGTACAACGGTGACACAGACAACGTTCAAAGTGTAATATATTAAAAGCTTGCTTAAAAACGAAGCCGCTGTCTTCGCTAGAAAAAATACATTGATATGAGTGTATAACGGTTGCCTTGCTTTATTAATTTTCGGGGTTATGCTAGGTACTTCGGCTTCATCCTGACGCAATGAAATATGCGTCTATTTGTCACCATCAAGATGTATTTATAGACCTTACTATGACATCAGTTACAAGTGAAACCCCCCGAACCCACACAATGTGTGACACCATGTGTGGTCTTGTCGTAATCACGATACTAACAGTGCTTACTGGAATCATCCTACTATAGTACTCGTACTATAGTAGTAGTATGTGAACTCTAAAAGCTTGTTCAGCTTCAAGATCACAGTAAACATAATTTCCAGACTGTGTCATAGCTGTTTGCACTTATGTAATTAAAATACTCTGCTAGAAAATATAACCCTACAGTATGTACATAACACAATGCAGACATCATTTTTTCCTTACTTGACCTGGTGCCGTTCGCATAAAAAGTTAATATCAGGAAAACGATAGTAGATGGTCCCATGTCGTTCACACCCCTGTTTTCAAGTTACCTTCTTCACGATAGAACATTCATAGATGCTATCGTTGTGACACTGGCTGTGGTGATGGCGTAAAAGTTGCTTTCGAATGAAAATTATATTTTTAGTATAACAATGAGAGTAGCTTACATCCGAAAAGGAGCTGCTGATTATTGCTGGGATTAAGAATATGGGTGGATTGTGGAATGACACAGGCGCCCCGCGCCTGAGTGCGAGGGTGCCGGTGGGATAATGAATTTGTGCTGTCTGTTGGAAGGTTCGTCTGGTCCATTTCTTAAATATTATTGCGGTGACACGTGGCGCATGGCAGGGACGCCAACAATGCCGACAATATTATCAATCAGTGCTGTTAACTATGATCGCTACAAACTATTACGTAAGCAAAGCAGAAACGCAAGAATAGTCAGGAAGACTTACGTTGGACTGGGCTATCATGACTGGGCTGGACTTGGAGAAGTGTTAGAAGCTCTTTGTCAGTTTGGCCTGGAAAAAGTACGAATAGAACAATGGTACGGCCATCACGAACCCGTTGTTGTAAACTAGCCCAAAGTATCATCTGCTTCGTGTGAATTTTCTTGTGAAAAACGATCATACCACTAGCCTTATAGCGACTTGCCTGGCTATATACGTGGGTTAAGAATTTGTTTATAACAAATGGAAGTGACGGTGCCGTTAAGACTTGACTCTACTATACAAATGAAGCGGACGATATCTTATTGCCTTTAAAATACCTTCGTAATTTGTTTGTCTGGTTAGACGTTTTCGTTAACCTGCAAGATCAAATCTGTACGTTATTGTTGTTGAATAGCTAGTTACAGTGATGCCAAGAATGAAGGCGTTCGAAGTGGTTGAAAATAAAGTTGCGGAGGAAGGAACTTCTCTTACGTTCAGTAGCAAGTTATACGGTGACTGTTGTGTAATATTATTATTTGACTGTTACATTAATGTATTGTTAGCTCCGTGTGAGAAGGCACATTCGTGTTAGTCCTGCAAAAACTTCGTATGCGCCAATCGATTATCTCTTGCTCGATTCACAAATAAAGGCATTTACTTACTTTATCGTGCTTACTTTTCTATCTATACTTACTTTTACTTTAAATTATCGTGTTTGTTTCCTTCGCGGGAAAATGCCAATTAGTTCCTCTAAATACGGTATATAATTCGCAGTTCCACCTAAAGCCAGTCTATTTAGTTGAAATGAGTGCCTTTTGCTATAAGTCCAATACTGATAGCGTGCACACAAGGTTTTCCTACATCCTGCGTGTAACCAAGAAGTGTGTTAAATTTATTCTAGCTGCATAGCTACAATAAATATGAAAAGCTGCAACTTTTCTGTCTGATCGATCTGTCGGAATGCCAGATGTATATCACATGATTGATTGAAAAACGAAGACTTTTATTAGAAGAATGCAATTTGATTAAAAACTTAAAAATATTATTATAAAACTATAAGTGATTAATAGTCCGTTGATATTTCACCCAATATGGAAAACACAAAGTTTTTGTTAAATTAAAAAAAAGCGTTGTTGTATTTAGATTTACTTGGTGTGTTTGTCGCCAAATGCTAGGATGTAATAAATTCATCATAGAGAGAAATTAGAAATACCGAGGTCCATAGCACGTCGGTAGGTCGGGCTCGGAGACATGCGTCTCTGACTGCAAAATATTGAGTGCCCTTCTACTATATAACACCTGTTAATAAATCTACAGAGGTTTGAGTTTTATAGCACTTTCCAGGTATTTACTCATTCGCATTTACCTAGTCTGCTTGAGGCATTTAAAGGAACAGTTGAGATTTGCCAAGAGATGCTTTTTCCGGCTGAACTTTCGGCCTTCTGAAAGTAGCAGATTTGAGCTTCGTGCATCATTTTCATGCCGTACCTCAGATCCATATATCAGGTGGAGTGTAGCTTTGGTAACTTTTTCAGAGGTAAAATTTACCCTTTTAATAGTGTTATGAAAGTCGGGATTTCTGCAGTTACGCCGTTGCGACAAGGTCTGAAAGGATATACGCGGCTCGTATGACTCGGATTTTGACGTCGGTCTTAGGTTTGGTCTTCATTGAAAGAAATACACGCGTCAGAACCTCTTCCTACGGTTATCTGAAGGCATGACGCTCCCCTAACAACCCGTGCCTGAAGCACTTGCGCCAGATACAAGCATATCCCTAGGACACCCTCAGTCCGGAGCGTCGCAGATTATAGTAATAGGCTTTGCTTAGTTAAAAAAGTTTTTACACGTCCGAACTGTTACATATCACAGCGGCAGCTGCCCACAGAGCGAAACAAATAATAACGGGCATATTTCAGTGGTGTAGCCGGTAGTAAGTCGATTGGATTAGCATATTAGTAGCGCAGCGTTATTTGGACATTCAAAACTGGTAAACTGATAATTGATAAATTAGAGAAAAACATGCAAAATCACTTCTAGTGTTGGTACATTGAAACATAATATAAAACTAGCGACATTTTTAAGGCTGTTTAGCTGACTTTAACGGTGAAATAGTATTTATTTTTTATTTTTCTGTTTACAAATTCAGGAATAGCGTAGCATTAGTCCGTGTAAAAAACAATCCCTGTATACATTCATGGACATTGCTTCGTTTCGTTAAATTGAACTACGCTCTGAGGCAGCTCCTGAGTATCTGCTAAAACCAGCAACAACCAATTTTATATGCGCCATGGTACCGTGAAGGACCTTAGAACTAAATCTCAGCTGCCAAACTTGATTACTGATTCCCTTCGAATATTTATGAAAGAATCAGGTACTATATATACTGGATTTTCTTCTTGGTCCATGCGTATCGAGTGACCACGCAGGTTCTTAACATCGAAAGAGCATTTTACGGTTTTGACAGTTCCATGGGAAAACGGCGAGAAAACGCCGTCGGTTGCCAGGATTTTTGCCGGATGAAAAGTTTACGTGTTTCAAATCACGCCAAATTAATTAGCGTTTGTTGTGTGAATCATACTTCCACAAGGAGGGACTTTGAAACATAGAATAGGTGAAGCAATTGAGAAAAAGGCGTCCACGTAAGTATATTCAGGCCAAAAGGCAAAAAGAAAAAGTCAACAAAGGACATACATAATGCTTACATGACCTAATGCTAGAATTAACTTTAATGGCCCTAAATGCATCATCACGACTATTTAACCGTACAAAACTGTTATAATATAGATTATAAATAACATGGACGTGTTACCGGACTTTATAAAAGCTAAACTGATACCCAT